CGGTGGATGTTCTAACATTTCCCAATGCATTTTTTAAGTTGCCTTGGTTTCAAGGGAGACGTAGGGCAGATATTGTAATGGAAATCCCATATCTTTTGCTGCTCTTCTCGAAAACTTTTACACCAACTGTTCCAAGTTTACGACCTAAGCAATGCTCCCCATAGATTGATACTATTCGTCGATAAATATTTGGAATAAACTCTACTTCTGCAATTAAGAACCGTACTGCCACACGTTGTTCCGATCTTAACTCATCTTTATATGGCATGACTTTATTTTCGATTAATTTCCTCAGCACTAACAAGTTTCACTGTTAAACATCGTATGCGGTGAACATTTCCTACCGTCTTTCGTGTCCCTGTTTGATGTCTATGTTACAGAGCTGCACTCCTTCTGACGCAATGGCATATATCCTCTTCTAATTTGGGCAACTCGTAGTCCGCGAGCTCCAGAGTCACTGAAATCTGCTTTGTAGAGGAACTGATACATATTAAATCTATTTAGACTCAAAGTCTTCAATTTGGCATGGGGCGGAAAGAGAGTTAGGGCTAGTTCAGGACTCGTCATCGTCCCTTGTCCGTAGTTGAAAATGTAGAGGGCCGTCACCAATAGCTCTTGTTTTGCTTAGTGGGACGTTAATAGACACTCAATCACTGTTTTCATTTGTATTTATTCATCAAACTTCTTTATAGAAGATTAGGAAATAGTCTAACTGTAAAATTTTCTAACAATAAAATTTTACCAATTTTGTATTCCATTACTGAAATAGCTGAGCTATCAATTTCTTTTAAATTTGTTCTTAAAACAATTCAAGGTATCCGGCTACCCTAAAATTGTGAATTTTCCCAAAAATTGACAATTTTTTAAGGATTTTATTTTAAACGCCATCTTATTAGATTTATAAAAAATACCAAGTTTATTATTTTCCGTTAGCTAGAACAAAAACTACAAGAGTTTTAGTAAAAGCAAATGTCGTTACTTTAAGCAAGATGTCATACATTAAAACGCGCTTTACTGGAAATGTGGGTTTTTTTAATGATCAAACGGGACCAGTGATTGTTAACAAAGTTTTGAAAATAATTAAATGAAATTTTTGGTGTATGTTCTGTATAATAGTAGAAGTGTTTTAGAACCTTCAGATTTATCAGTCACTGTTTTATTACAAAATTTACAGTCCCTTATGTTAATATAATCATTTTTTTAAAGCAATTTCATGTAATAACTAAGATAAAGTGCTCTAGTTTTTGTAAAAGTAAAATATCTTATCCTGAAGGTCATTTCACAAATGAACATCATAGCAATACATCAGAAATGAAGAAGTGAAAAACTTTTCATAAACTTTTGCAACAAAATGATCCCCATTTATGTTATTTTTTGTAAATTTTTACTCATTATTTCCAATTTTAGTAATAAAAATTTCTTTTTTCTCTTCTTAGATTTAGAATATTTTTCTTAAAATGTACTAAGCAAATCTAAAAACAACAAATAAAATTCCTGCAACTCCATTTTTTTAAAAAAAAGTTGCCGCAAGTAATCGGATACCTTAAGCATTTTTTAAAAAAATTTATGTTTTGCATCAGGGGTGCCAAACACGCAGTCCACGACGAATATATCTTCCCGGCCTGTATATCATCACACAATAACATATAATAAAATATCAAAGTTTCTATCGAAATACGGAAGTTAGTAGCAGAGGAGAGTTGTCCAATATCAGGACGTAAATATTAAATGTTTTTGGTTCTTTTATTTAGGTTTATTATAATGTATTATTCTAAATAAACCTAAGTTTGTATGAATATTGTTTTTTGCGGCCCACCTAAAAGTTAAGACTTATTTGTTAGACCCAAGTTAGTTGTTGAGTTTGACACTCTAGGTTTAGTGTTTCGATTAAATAATTGTTTAAAACGTCAAAAATTGAAGCAAATGAAAATAATATCAAAATAGCCTTTTATAATTTGCGGATAAAAAGGTTCTCAGACAATACTAACTAACCATATACCAAATAAGATACATAATGCAATTACTTTATTATAATATTTGTATAAAATTAATAAGAAAATACATTTATTCATTTCTCATCGGTTAATTTCCAATTTCGTAAAACACGAATGAAACAGAAACATGTATATCAGTATTCATATCAGATAAATAATTTAATTACTTCATATTCTATAGCAGTATTCTCTCTGTTCTAATAAAGCGATCAACATATTCATGGGCATTAGAATTGCGGATGTGGTGGAATAGTTGAGTACAATTTAGTATTCTATTCGTATTACATGATAACCCCTCTCTCTCTATGAGTTACATAGGATTACCATACATATTCAAACTAGAAACACATATCTTAGTGTACTAAAAAGTCTTTAAAAGTTTATACACTATGAAAATTAGATTTTCTTATTCTGTAGCGTTCATATCATTTACCAAAAATTAAGACTGATATAATGCTTTAAAAAAGTTTAAAGTGATAGTGTTTGTATATCCTTTCTTCCACCAGAAGAGTCATGTTCAGAATTGCAGAGATTATTATAGAAAGATTCCCAAGTACGCGCGCGCGAAAAATTTTAACCGAGAAAAATCCTTATTTAATTTTTTTATGTTTGGAAGAAGTCTTGAATTTTTAAACACTTTTGGCAACATAATATTTTTAAAAAAGTGTAAATTATCTTTTTTTGTTCGAGAAATAATACATAAAATTTTACATCCCATTGTGTTGAAATGCTTAAAATTTTTTAACTCCACCTTTGGTGATTCCAATAGTTGACATCATTTGGCCAAGACATCTTCACCAAGTTGGAAATGAATGAAGATAAAAGGCTAAAATCGGATTCAATATATTCGTATTTTCATATATTTTTTGTCGTTTATTTATTCTTTTAAATAGTTCTCAAATTTGTTATATTTTATATTTTTGTCCATTCTCTTTCAAATAGATCTGAAATTTGTTATGTATAATTGGCCTGTATAAATTCAATGGGTGAAGTTTTAAAATAATTATGTAAATCCCTGTTCATACAAAAGATTAAAATTCTTAGAGTGAATTACCAATTTCAGATCTTCAGATTTTGCATAACTAGTTTCTCATAATACCTAGTTAAGTGGAAGTCGAATAAAATAAACAAACGAATATACACGTTTTACAAACGTACATTTATATTCAATTAAACTTCTATATTGTGAAAATTTTCATTGGTATTTCTACCAATTTGAACTTAAAAATTTAATTAATAAACTGCACATAACTGCAATAATATTTTCAAATAAAACAAATAACTAAATCACAGTGCTACAAACATATTCCTTTAAAAAAGAACGTTATAAAACCATTTTACTTGTAAATATATAAAACTTAATAGCTAGTCCTATAACTCAATAGCTCCTTAATCATTTACGTCCAATCATTTTATAATAATGGACCGTATTGACAGGTAAATGTCTTCCTTTTCAACATGATTGTAATGTTTGGACAAGAGGCAATTACGCCATGGTAACCAAATGTATTGATGGAGATTCTTCTAACATTTCTTATCTAAGCAACCACATCTTTTCCAAATGTTTCTCTAATTTGATTTGCTTTGACTGCTGAAGGGACTTCGATGCAGATATACATCTTATTATGAGATTATTGATGATTAGTACAACTACACTTTGTTTGAAAGATTAGTACAACTATGCTTTCTTGTTAACACACAGTGATTCAGTACAACTATGCTTTGCTTAAAAATAAATAAAAATCAAGACTATTGCAAAAAATTTCATTTGCAGTTTGCGTTCAATGGCATAGTGATTTTAAGCAAACTATGCATATAATTTGATACAGATATTTTGTAAAATATTTTTGGTAAAAATTGCAATATTTCTTCTTTAATATCTTTGCTTGTGTTACAAACTATTTTTCACTCGTATATTAAATAGTTATGTAGTTAACATTTAGCTGGTATTGATGATGAAAGAAATATTATAAAGATTTAAAATATTAATATTCCCTCGATAAAATTTATTTTTTCAATTCCTACTATTAGTTCACTTTCTCCCTATATATATATATATATATATATATATGTGCGTGTGTGTGTGTGGCGGATCTGTACGCATCCTTCAACTAATCCTTTTGGGAAATCTTTGGGTATCAATCACAACCAACCCTTTTGGAAGAAGAAACCGTGATATGCAGATTAAGTCGGATATATATAGTATAGATTTTCTAACTAGTGGATGAATAGATTAATAGAGGATAGATGGAGTTACTTGGAAATTGAAATATAGAGAAGCTGACGACAAGGAAAGATATCTACTGATCAGGTATTAGTAAGCATTGATAGCGCGTTTCGGGCATTAAATAGTTGAAGATATGTAAGTGACGATAGGTCACTATAGATAAATTGTAACTCATATATTTGAGTTGTGGATTGATCCATAAAAGGAGGATCAATTTAATAAAATTCTTCTCACATAATTCGCGTAGTAAAATCCCCTCTTGCTCTTACTTGGAACATCTCATCTTGTTTGAATACTTGTGAATTGTGTCTTTTGATAATTAGTGTCCTGAATAAATACTTGGAAAGTATGATGGCGACACATCTTTCATTTCCTCACACCTCTAGTCGGGTTCGAATTATTTAATGCCATTAGTCTACTATTTTGTATTTTATGAATAAAAGTTTGCTTTATATAAAAACAGACTTTAATAGATTATTTTAAGTGCAATCTTAAGAAAATTAGTTTATTGAATCATAAGAAACTACACACACACACACACACACATATATATATATATGTTATATATATATTTTATATATATATATATCTTGTTCAAATTTTAAATCGCTAATAAAATACTTTCTATTTATCCATTTAAATATATTTTTTAAACTTTTAGTGGATGACACTTGATGTTAATACAGTTTTTCCATTAAATATATTAAAAAATGAATAAATAGTAACAAAAAAAATAACAGTCCATCAGCATATACAGAAAGAAAAATCGCTCGTTGTGTGCCTCTGTAGCGCAATGGATAGCGCTTTGGACTTTTAATCCGAAGGTTGTGGGTTCGAGTCCCATTTGAGACCTAATTTCTGAGAATGTGGTTTCTTTTTAACTGTACTATTTTATTATAATGAATAAATTTAATTAGTGAACAAACAGCAATAAACATTCAAATTTTATCAAACACCATAAATAAAAAGGAAAATATATAGAATTGCGGGGAAAATCGCTTTCTATTTTGCCACTTAATATTGTGATTCTGTCATATGTAAATACATATTTATATTAACTCTAACTATTTAATAATAAGTAAGCGAAATAAAAATTTTCTTTGTTGACCTAAGTAGGAATTTACTTAATTATTTTATATTACTTGTTATCAACTAGTTTTGAACTGTAGAAAAAAAAATTAAATTTTTTTAAATTCCTAAAATTTCAATAATAGAACATATTTTTATTGGGTTAAATTAAGAAATTTCTGATATTTTGGTTTTTTAGTTTGAATTTTAAGTCATAATTATTAATAATTTGCATGTTTTAAATGATTGTTAGAAACAGACATTTTTATTTTCCTTAAAAAATTATTTCAAACTCATTTCCAATTTTTTTCCAATTAAATTTAAGGGAAAATAGTTATTAGAAAGTCGTCTGAAATATAAAATGTTATCACTATTTCTTTCATTTTCTGTAAGCTATAAACCTCTTTTGACATATTTATGAAACCATTCATAAAATAACAGTAGCTCAATTCCTCCATCTTAACCAAATATAATTGAAAAAGTAACTAAGCAATTTTTTTCGGAAACATTTTTTACACTTTATTAAATGTTTTTTTTTCTTTTCAAGACTTATTTGTATAGCTAAAATACAATATTTGTTTATTTAGACATTTAAGTTGGATTAAATTGATACGAGTGAGATATATTTTAATAAAGATTTTAATACGTTAAAAATTAAAATGTTTAAACATACATTAAAATCATGATTTTCTCATGCATGATATCGCATGCAAAACTGAAGCAATACAACGTACTTTTAAAACATCTTGGTGATGAATATCTTAAATGTTATTAATTATGCATTACCACATCAAACTTATTATTTAAATATTGTTGTAAATACTTCTGAAAGTTTTACAGAGTGTAAATATAAGTTATTTGGAAAACACTCCTTCTTAACTTTTATTGAACGGAAGAATAGCTGCAATCAATTTTAAATAGACAGCTTTTCAGACTTCCGTGTATGTTGACAACATTGTCAATAAACAACAAAAACGATGCGCCCTTTAACATTTCTATTTGACAGTTTGTCATTTTACAAGTAACGAAAAAAATAGTTTTAAATATATACGTAACTGATTATATATTTAAAACTATTTTTTCATTGTTCTTGATCATTGGAAATGAAATCAGATTCAATTGAATAAAGAATGTAAATCTATAAAGTGTTTTCATATACTTTGATAACATTTCTTTAGAGCCAAATTTTAGTAAATTTCTAAATCCTGCTTATATAAAGAAGAAAATACTTTTATATTTAATTTAATACCTATCACATTAAATTAAAAAATTCAATCGCGTAGTGGAATTTTTAAAAATAGTCATTAATATTTGTTTACTATGTTTATATTTTTATATATATTTATGATTTTATTTAAACGCGCTTTTTTTTCAATTCCTACTATTAGTTCACAATTTCCCTGTGTTTATATATATGTATATATATAGGTATGTATGTATATTTATATACATTTATATATGTGTGTGTAATGTTCAAATTTTCAATCGTTAGTAAAATACTTTTTATTCATCCATTCGAGTTGAAATACATTTTTTAAACTTGTAGTGGACACTTGATGTTAATACAGTTTTTATAATATTAATTCGTTAGTTAAACTTAATTAATGAATAAATATTAACTAACAAAAATAACATCCAACACCATATATAAAAAGGAAAATGGTAAATTGCAAGGAAAATCGCTTTCTATTTTCCCGCTTAATATTGTGATTTTGTCACATGTGTATACGTATTTATATTAATTGTAATTATTTAATAAAAAATAACTAAAATAAAATTTTTTTCTTTGTTAACTAAAGTAAGAATTGACTTAATTTATTTTATATTACTTGTTATGTTCCAATTGTTCTTTTTTTTATATTCCATTTAATTGATGTTATACAGATTAAAATTTTGTATATTAAATTTAAAAAACAATTTTACACAATTTTAAGGAATTTAATATGTTACATTACATAATCGACAGAAACGTTTTAAAGAAAGTGAGGTATTTACGAAGGCCTTTCACAAAAAGGGGTCAAAATATTTAATTCTCGACCTTTATTTAAAAAGAAAAGCTACCAATTTTCCGCGTCTAACAAAATTAATTTTTTTCTTAAGTAAATTAAAAATATTTTAGCAATTGAAGTTAAGTTGTTGGTATGCATTAAATTAAAGTAAACTTTTCCAGAAGTGTGAAAAGTCCCAAAAGTATAAATTCAAAGACAGGAGACAATTTTCGATAGTTCCATTTATCTTACAGCTTTGAAAGTTTGTACTCGTATTGATATTATATGAATAGATATGTCATTGAGAGATTTAATTAAAGAAATTATTATAAAAAAATAAATACGTTAAAAAACGGGTGAATTTCTTTACTTTGAAATTTTTTGTAGTGCATTCCACAAATGAATATGATAAATATAATAAAATAAAAATTTACAAAAGTGCTTCCATTAAAATTATAATAATAATACAAAATAAATATACATAAAATGTTTGCGAGTGTCGTATTACCAGTCAATTATTTGAAAATGTTAATTGAACTAGAGAACTTTAAACAATATGGAAATAAAGTACTATCTGAAAAAAAAACCTTAAAGTTTATTACTATAGCGGGGCAAAGTAATAGTAACCATTGCTTATATATATTATCTCTCTTCTCTCTCTCTATATATATATAGAGAGAGAGAGACTAAGAGAGAGGGAAAGATTACTTCGAATTGATTTCTCAGATGCGTTCTTCGATCAAATATACATTTGCCTCTTTTAATTCTTTGAATTGAATTTTATGTAAAAAAGAGCATTAAAGAGCATATTTGAATAATGAGATACGTGAGTATAACATAATAATAAATTTACTTTATTCAATAGAAGAAATGCTACTTTAACATTCAAAATTGAAATGTATTTGCATTTTTGTATTCAATGTAATTCATTCATTTTCAGATTTCATGCATCTCCTTTTCAGTTTCCTTGATTTGTATGCCATTTCGTTCAATTCTAAGAAATCAACAACAGATGAACACTTTTAAAATGAACTTTGTGCTTTTATATAATAAGCTTTTCGTATTCTTTGAATATTTTGCTGACAGATATTTTATTGTCAGCATGGATTGTTTAACAAATGAAAAATGGATCAAAGAAATGGTTTATTGAAAATATGGCATATTTTTTTAAAATCACATTCAAATCCTTTCTGTTTTGAAATGGCGTCATTTTTAATTCACAGACAATATTAATATCTTGAAATTTTAAATTAATATATCTTTTATTAAATAAAAATCGCTAATGTGTTTTTCAATAATCGAAATTATTTCAATTAAGGAAATTGCAACAAAATAGTCTTCCAGACTATGGAGCATTCCAGGATTGATTAATAATAACTAACGTCGTATTTAGAAGCAGGAATAGGTCTAATGGCGATTGGTGCTTTTTTTTTTTTTTGTACCACGATAAACTTATGAGGCCACACTTTAATCCTGACATATTTAAACGTGTATCAGTGCTGATACATAGAAAGTCTTGGTGGCTTCTATGAAAATGGTTATTGCATTTTCCAAGTGCATTAACTTAGAAAATTGAATATAGTTAATGAATGAAATAGTTTTATATTCAACAGAAAATATATTGTAGTGAAGAATATATCTTAAAATAATTATTTAAAATGTAGTATTATAGTTCAGGTTAAAACCTATTGAAAACTTAACAATTTGCAAGCTTGTTCTCTAAGTTTAATGAAGACTGGTTATGAATTCAAAAAAAATTGTTTTGTACAATTAATATTAAGAGATGCGAAAACTAAGCTATCTTTATATTGCCATATGTTTACTTCATTACATTTTAATATTATATCTTTCGTTTTGTGTTTTGATACTCATCAAGAAACCAAGCTAAATATATAACTGCGGAAATAATGCCAATGCAACTAAATTAAACGCATACAAGGTGTCCGAAATGGATTTTTATACCTTTAAAAACAATTAAAAATAAATGAAAAATGACGTGATTAAAATTTTTTAAGTTCCATAAAGGAAATTTTGAAGTGTGCGGGCGTCCATGCGTGCGTGTGTGTGTGTTTCAAAAGCATTAATAGTTCCTTTTTAAGTATTTATACCTAAAATTATTTAAAAGTAATTCGCTAAGATACGGGAAGCCTCAAAACTTAATTAAAAATTTAAGAAAACAAACATATTTTAATGTATGTAGATGTAATGTCCCTTACTATTTTTAAACAGAACTGTGTTATTATTTTAACTAATAAAACGTATAATTTATTTTTTAACATAACTCCTCTTAAACACTCTTTTAGCTTCCCTCTATAAACAATAAGCATTTTTATTTACCTTTAGTAAAAATCAGTGCCTTGAATATTAAATAAAAATATTCCTTCACTATTAAAAATCTTTCGCTTCATTGCTTATCAACTTTGCCGTACAAATCTGTTGTTTTAGTTCGGGTACTAATTGCAACTCTTGTAACACATACCTCAGAAAAGAATGTCGCTGTTATTTTGATAAAGAACCCGATCATTAAAGGAAATATTCTGTAAGGGAATAATACCAAGTGATAATTCTACTAGCTTAAGTTCGGATCCCCACGAGTATAAAGTATACTTCGAGTGAGGGAAAGTTTTAAATCCTCTCTTGTGTCAATTAACGAGAAGGGATATTTTAACGAGGAGATGCAGTCAGATTGTTAACCTCTTCACGCTAATTGGGATCAGGAATTAATTATAAGTTTCATTTTATAATGAAGGGATCTTTTTTGGTAAATGTTCGTATCATAGCATGAAAATTGCTGCA